AATCATTCGCTCTACTATTATTCTGACATGTCCCATTCTTAAAATATAGTGGTGATCCTAACTGACCTAAGACAGGGAATATTTACTAGGATTAAATGTCAGGAATTGTGAAAAACTGAGTTTAAATGTATTTGGCTAAGGTGTATTTAATCTTCCGACTTCAACTGTACATGCATTACTTTATGTCAAACGGCTACTACGTCTGTTATACAGATACAGTATATGTAGGCTCAGCCCTAATTTATGTGCTCTTTGACACCTGGAGTTGCATGGCAAATGGTCCAGTAGAACAAGGAAGACAAAGGTCAATGCCAAAGGATTAATCAGCCCTTCCCCCTCTGAGGGGACAAAATTTATATCTGTTACAGTCTCCAGAGGACACTATTGAATGAGTGATAGAATAATGATATAGTATCCATGTTTGATAGATATCTACAACTTGTTCACTGAGGATAACTCTGATGCTATTGTAGTGTATTAGGATTATGGAATGTTGTTTATCTTAGTTCAAATGTAGCAGTTGTAGGGTGACGCCCCAGGGGGGATAGGTGATTGGACGAAAAAGGGAGCAACCCATTTATTGCCATTGTTTATAAGGATGGGCTAGACAAAGAGCGGGCAGAAGCATTCAGATTAATTTGGGACGGTGCTTCTCCAGACACCGCGGGTCTGTAACTTATGCTGAAAGCTTGTGATATGAATAAATCTTATGATCCAGGTTCAGTATGAGCGGACTCCTTTGTTCATCAGCAATAATTGCCAGCATTTACTCGATACGACACTATCTTTATGGATGTATTATCTCTGTGGTAACTTGTATCTATACAGGGTGAACTCTAAATTACTCTCAAAGAGGTTTTATTGTCCTCTCAGGAATTCTGTCTCATTTACATTGGTCGCATCCCCCACACAAGCTTTTAGATGCTTTTTGACACCCTGTGGAGATTGGGCCTTTCTGGTCAGGTTACACTGTAAACTTGGTATCGTTTGATTGGTCAAAGGTAGTTGGTTTTGGGTTGAAAGATTACACCTTCAGATGTTATAAATGGAATTAAATGCCTTGTTCTCTCTCTTATCCTGTGTCCAGTCCATGGAGGAAGGTTGTATGATCAATTCTCATTTCCTAGGCTTCTAGGCCTCTGGCCTAGTAAGCATCTCTTTGTCCATGCTTTTCCTTGTAAGTTAACCTTAGAATCTATTTGCCTAAAATAATGAATTGTTAATTTAAGCATTGCCTTGTAACTTAAGCTTTGCCTTGAACCAATTCATTTGACAAAGGTATTAAATAATACTTGCTATGATATTCACTTCTCATGACCATTCCTTGATCTTAGCCAGCTAAACGCATAATACTTGATTGCACATGGTTCAATTGTAGTCTCTTGCATATTGCTAATTATCTTAATGGAGTCAGATATAAAGTTTAATAGGCTAATTGCTTAGTCTTATTATGAGTCACATGTGAGGTATAATATCATATACACTGTATATACACATGTCAAATATTACTACCCACTACATATAGACTTACAGAAAGAGGGTAATTCATAAATTTTAGATCAGAATGTTTTGTATAAAGATAAGCATTATATTGTTAGATTATAGGAGTCATTCTGGTAGGCCTGAAACAGTCATTCTCACCTCAAATTCAACTGTCGGAGTCAATATGAGCGCCGGGGCACACTGCCTTCATATTATAGGCCTGCAGTAGCTAAAGCGTAATAATAGCCACACCATACCAAACCTTCACAAATGTTTGTAAACTTCATTAGGGTAATATCAAAAGTAAGTCAAACCATTGTTTATAGGGAAAATACGAGCAGAAGAGTGAATGTAATCCAGGGAAAAATGCACTGCCCTCCCCTGTGCCCCCCCAGAAAACACCCAACCCTGCACAAATCCCCCAAAAAATGTTGGACCCCCCCCCCAAGTAAATGTCGATCTGTCCCTTACGCACATCGTCCATTGCTTATTAAAAGTTATTCCATTACAAAACTGCATTACAAAACTGCACGTGAAATGCATTTTCCTAATCTTTAACATAAGTATGCATCAACACCTGCTGACCTGCAGTATCACTTGTGCTTTCATCAATACATGGATGAGTAGAGGTGGACGAGTTCTACTTCAATGACCAGTAAGGATACAGAGAGAGGATCACGTTCCCCTTTTATGAATGAAGGGAAGAGATGAAGACACCGAGCTAGGATTACAACATGAACCCTGTGCTAGTGACCAGAGGGTTACACAGTTAAATAACATTCAATGACTTTTGGCCTCTGTTACCTTTCCATTACTTCCCTCAAAGAAATGGAGAATGAAAACAACAATGTGAATGACGACAGATCTGGAAAATCCAATGTATGAACCTTCTCATCCTTTACTTAATCCCTTTATCAGTTGTCACTCATTTAGAAAAAAATCTACACATTCACTTATACAGATGTAGGATCTTCATTTGATAATTTTCTCACAGACGGATAATAATCCTGCTGCAACAGGAAATGTGAATTATTGTGTGGATTATAATCAATGGACATTTTTGTAGGGGTTGATAAATGTGACCGACTGGCTCAATTCGGTCTTATATAGCAACATTTGAAATTGTGTTTTTTTCATTGGATAAAAGTAGAGACTCAGAGCTAGAAAATGGTATATCATACACTACAGTTGAGGAACAATGGGAAAGTAATTCTGCTTTGAAAGTTGATAAACTTGTAACCTCATTTTTGAGAAAATGGCTCTTGAATGTTTTGGTAAGCCTACTGGAGAGCTCTTTGTTGTCTGCACCCATTCAGCATCGTTCACACCCTCTTGAGCCTTAGCTCCACCCATCTCTTTAAGGATTCACATGTGAGGCCATGTACTAAACAGCCAAAGATTTCAAGACTAAACGCTGGTTTATACTACGTCTATCGACAGTTGTCGCAGACGTAGTATTGTCGTCCGACATCAAACTTGTTGTTGTCGTTATGAAAAAGTATAAACACAAAAACTACAGGCTGCATGACATCAGCAGCCTGGTGGTCCAAAATAGCATAACTAGTGTATTTTAACACCAATAAACCCACCCGTTTAAAAAATAATGTAGTATATGTCAATCTAGCAAACCAGGCAACTAAAAGCAACTTTCTAAACAATGTTTTGGTTTGTGTTCTAGCTTGTTAGCTAACTAGCTAATGTTAAGTTAGCTGGCTAGCCAGTTCAAATAATGACCATATCATATTTTTTAAAACATTTTATATATATATATATAGCTGACAACGTCTTCACTTTAGCTCATTTGTCTTCATTATTACAGGGAAATAAACTCACAACAAGATCATTATTTACAAGTTAATGGAAAATAGCTTACGCCGTAAGTTACGGTTGTGAGTGTGACTAAATAATATCAGGGCAGCCTTCCGGAGACACTGTCTCATTGGCGTAACGTTATATCCTAATTTGAATTTGGTACAGGTCATGTTCTTCACATTACTTTCTCTGGGAAACACATACTATATCAAATAAAATCAACGTTTATTTGTCACGTGCACAGGATACAGGTGTAGTGAAATGGTTACTTGCATAGTGGAGTCTTTTGTTTAGACATGTAGCTAGCTAGTTAGCTAGCTAGCTAGCTAAACAATGAACCATAATCCCAACTCATAACGTTACTACCCTGCATGAATCTGCAGGGAGCTAACCAACCAGGTTCAATGTTAACTAGCTAGCTAACATTAGGCTATAACTAGCAATGCAAATATCTCTGAGATACGAATAATATTACTACACAGATTATACATGTAACGTTAGCTAGCGAGCCAGCCAGCTGACATTAGCTAGCTAGCTTACAGTACGCTTTAACTTGAAATGAAAACGACTTTCTGACAAAATTAGAAACGTATAATATCTGAAAATGTAGCTAGCTTGACTATCTTACCCGTATACATGGATGGACACTTTTCCCTCTCTGTCACGGATGCCATGGTTGCCCTTAGTTTGAAGATGTAATCTGGAGACAGGTATTTTATACAACAGCCTTCTGTGTGTTCTCTTTTCGACTCCCTCTGCATTATTCCACCGGGCATTCCGCTGATTTCAAAACTTGGTCCTCCAGAAAGTGGAGAGGAACACTTTTGCAGTTCTACTACGTGATATCAAAAAAAAAAAAAAAGCCATGTTAGGAAGGAGTACCTACACATACTGACCAGCTTATGTTATAGACAGAAGCGTGCTACATGTCAGACCAATCCGAACTCATCTCTCGGCATGTCCAGCTCATACATTATCTCAGCCAATCATGGCTACATTTACATTTTAGTCATTTAGCAGACACTCTTATCCAGAGCGACTGCATACATTATTATATATTTTTTTTTTCTCCATACTGGCCCCCCGTGGGAAACGAATCCACAACCCTGGCATTGCAAGTGCCATGCTCTACCAACTGAGCTACACGGGACTACATGGCTAGCAGGAAGGTTCCTGTCTTTTTCCATGGTTAAACCAACTAGGCTCGTAATTTAACCATTTTATTCGTATTTACAGATGACATACACATTTGTTATTAAGGCACATGAAAGTTCACATGTTCCAGAAGGCATTTCTGCCAAAAAGAATTTTGATTTAAAAAAAAGTTTACGTTCAAATGCCTCTCCTGTGAAGTAGTGACGTGCAACATGCGCCTAGTTTTCTGACATGAGTCACAAATGTTGCATTAGGGTAAATCAAGTCTGAAATGTTAAAGTGGAAATTACAAACTTTAGAAGCCTTTTTAAATCTAGAGTACACTACAAGTTTTTGTTTTCTGCTGTGCAGGAAATTTCCTGCAACAGGGTGATCAAATTAAGATCCTACATCTGTACTTTGCTAACTAAGCATACAGTATATATAGTGGATTACTGTTTATGACAAAGACCTACATTCTTCCTTTCTGGAAGTTTTGGGTCAGTGTGGATCGTACTGTAGTGAACTGTTGGTGTTAGTGGGAGCAGGAGTAGGAGAGTCCTCACTGCATCATGCCACCATGTAAACCCTACCCGGCTGACCCCACAGCCCAGTGTGAAATTTGACACGGCTCTGGGGTCCCCTTTAAGACATACTTTTGCTCTTTGTGAGCTATGATGTGTGTGTGATGTGTTGTGTGGTGTGTGTGGGGGGTGGGGGGTTAGGTCCCCATTTCCAGCAGGACGTCTGCAGCAGCTGTCCACTGGCATTTCAGCCGTATCGTCACAGTAGTGAGAGGGGGGATCAGTGAGACAGAGGGGGCTGCCTGCAGTCTTCTTTTGTGGGTTCACTCTCGCTGTCCTCGGCCCCAGCCCTCCACGCCCCACTACTCTCCCTGCCTCTGCCCCAACCCAGGCCCACGGCCCCACCATGGCCGACCAGTACCAGTACAACACCAACGAGGAGAAGATCGTGAAGGACAGCCACACCAAGGAGATCGACCTGATCAACAGAGACCCCAAATTTATCAATGAGGATGTGATCAAGGTAGGTGAACCATGATGACGCCATCCACTCACACACACACTGAATCTACAGGTTTAACTCCTTTTTTCCTAAAGTAAGGAAAGACAAGTTTTAAACCTTAGTTTAAAACTTAAGTCTAAAGTCTAAACTTAAAGTCAACACAGTACACTGTAGTACATTTATGTTGCTGTGTTGCTGCCAGGAAGGTCCCAAAATAGTCCCAAGGCCTTGTGCCTCAGCACGGCGCCCAGGGTTTATTTCTGGAATGGGACTAAAGGGGTGTGACAGAAGGGGAAATTCTAAGGCTGTTTCTTTTTGGATCTTTATCACTGCTTTTCCTGTGTTTTTCCTGTTTACATATATTAGTAGCAATCACAGCGCTATATTTCCCCAGCGCTCAGGAGAGCATGGAAGGAGATAGTATACTGCTAGGCTAAACAGGGTGTATGGCAAAACTTTCATTTACTTGAGTCAGTCATGTTAAGCATATTTCTTATATGTGAGGGCCAAGGGCACTACTTCTATGGATTGTATTGTGAAAAGTGTTGTACATGTTAAGTAGATGATAGGATTTATGAGGAACACGTTCTATATTTCAGTGTTATCTACACAATCTTAGTAGTTTATGTTACAGTATGCACTTGAAGTTTAAAAAAACTGTACAGAATGACATTTTCCTGCTGTCAAATCATTCATTTAAAACTTAGCTTGTCTAAGAAATGTTATATTAAAATACTAAGTATGGAAAGCATGTCTACAATTTTAAAGGTGTGTTAAAATGAATAGACTGTGATTCAGAAGTAGAACTTCTTATAATTATTCAAATTATGGAAATTGGTTTACCTTTGTTAGGAATCTGTTGCGTGTAACAACCCCCTTTCATGATCACTGACAAGTGAATTACCATTCAGGATTGAGTTGCAGATGTCTATGCAACAGTGAGCCAGGATTTTGTAAGGACCAGGTGTTGGATACTGAATACAACAAGCAATTACAAACTGGGCCATCGTGAGCCTCATGCATTTTACATGAAGGAACTCTGAGTTTCCGGAAACTTGATCCAAAACGTGATCTGAGAAAAGTTCGGACTATACATATTCATCAAGAGTGCGAAACTGAGGGACATAGTTTTGAGCTACACTGGCACTGAGATAAGTGCAAAGTAACCAGAGGGTGAAAGTTGACAGGATTCTCGTCACTCATAAATAAACAAAGACTATGTTAGGACACAGAACAGATGTGAGCATGGTATAGTCCCTCAGTATAGCTGTGTTTATTTCATTACTCTGTATCCCAGGCATTAGTGATGATAACAGTCATGGTGCTGAGTCACAATAACACATGTATGTTTACATATCACATCGATCACATTGATTTGTGAGGAAACTGTGAAGGGATTTAATCAAGGGTGCTATGTCACCAAGCACATTGTCACCAAGCGCATTGCTCTTGACTTTAAAAGGGAATTTACACTTGAGCCGACATCTGCAGCATTTACTGTGACTGCTTCGTGAACGTTGCGAAAATTACCTTTAAAAGGCATATTGTCGGCAGTGCAATGGGCTTGAATGACAACGTGCCGTTGATTGAATCCTGGCTCTTGTGTTAGGTACTCAGACAACCCTCAACTTTTTCCTCAGAGAGGTTCCACTAACGTTGTCCATGGTATTCCCTCCCTGCAGGTGGAGTTTGAGGATGTGATCGCAGAGCCCGACGGCACACACAGTCTGGATGGGGTGTGGAAGCTCAGCTACACTACCTTCACCGTTTCCAAGTACTGGTGCTACCGCATCCTCTCAGCCATCTTCGGCATCCCTGTGGCTCTGCTCTGGGGCTTCCTCTTTGCCTGCATCTCATTCTGTCACATCTGGGCTGTGGTGCCCTGTATCAAGAGCTGCCTGATTGAGTCCCAGTGCATCAGTCGCATCTACTCCCTCTGCATCCAGACCTTCTGTGACCCCTTCTTTGAAGCCCTGGGCAAGATCTTCAGCAGCGTGAAAGTGGCCCTGCGCAAAGAGGTCTAGACACTCACACCTACTGAAGTGTTTACACGTGTTTGGATGAAACGCTGCACCCTTTTTATCCGCCAGACCAGATAACCAGTCCTGGTGTCCTCATATTTCCTAAGACACCCCCCAATACCCTCAACCAGCCCAAATCCCAGGGCCTCGCCCGTCTTAGCCCTTTGAGTCCTGACATGCTCAGAGCGACCAGCGCCACCAGAGGCTCTGTGACAGCTGCAGCATGGTTGGGTGACAGCTCTGGCTCTGTTGGAAGGCAGAGAGCTATCTGTTCATTGAGGGAATACAGGGCTGGCAGCCATGGCATGGGCAGGACTTGTGTCCCAGAGTGAATGTATTTTGCGATGCTGAGGACAGTGGCACCTCGGTCACATGACATAAACACCCCAGTGACACTAACGGCATTGCAGCACCCGTAGGACAATGCTGCCTGTATACAATCTCTACTATATTGGCTAATTCTGAATTTATATACAGTATATTAAACAGTCAGATGTGTGTGGGTATGTGTATGTTTTGTGCCTGATGATAAATTAGTTGTGCAATGGAAAAGAGAATTGTAGTGCTTGAACAAGATTATATCACGTTTCACAGAATCAATAAGATGCTGTTTATTTACTGAATCATTTTGATTAAACACATCCTAAATTGTCAACTTTGCTTCACATTTCTTTCACATAAGCTTCCAATAACTTGACTGTGTGGGTATACAAACTATAAGAACGTTAGGAAAAAAGGAGACCCAGGTTTTAAAATTACAAGTGGAATGTTCTATTCGCAGGTCCTACAATTCAGCCAAGTAAGTGGTATCAGAGTGTATGCTAAATATTTCACTAAAGATATACGACATTGGTAATATTGCATTTGTGTATGTATTGATTGAGAAAGAGATGTACAAATTATCTGTTATTGACTTATGAGTGGGGAATTTGCTCTATCAGCAGCTATAAATATTCCAGAGTACTATTTGGGTTTATTGTTATTATTTCAAAAAATTTCACAAGAGCCTTGAAACATTCTGTGCCCTTAGTACATTATAGTATCCTCTTGGCCTCTACCTCTGTTCATAAGGTCTCCATTCCCCTGTCATTCCTTCTTTTTGTCACCAGGTGGAACCAAGAACAGTTCTGCTCATTGGAAGGTAGGGATAGAAAAGCCAATTGCGAACCACTGGTCTGATCCTGACATGTCAGTGTGATTGACAGTTCTGAAAACCATACCAAGAAAAGTAGAATTGCTCTAACTGTCTCCTTCTTTCTAAGAAATGTATGTGCATGAATCAGCCTCTAACATAATTGAATGGTTACATTATAGTGACAGAGGCTCAACATATGAGCCTCAACTCCATTTGATGCAAAAAAATCAATTCAGACTCACTTGATAGAACACATACAATTTATTTCAAATAAATAAGAGATACATATGTACTTTTCCAAAATACAACACTCTAAATACAAATAAGCCAATTATGTTTTCTACAAAATGTTCAGTAGCCTTAAGGACAAGTTGAAAACCAAGACATTTACAGTAAAAGGCGAAGCCAACTTCTGCCTTATGCAATAGTTTCTAAAATACATTGAATAATCCAGATAGATCAAAGCAGGATTCATGAGGTTGCTCCCCCAATTCGGAGTGTTCTGAGGAGTGTTCTGAGTGTGTGCAATCCATTTATCAATCATATATAGCAATATAGAAGACGCCAGCCTAAGACTCAAAAAGTACAGTCAGATTATGTAGAAAATGAAATTGGTGACAAAATAAACCACCATTTTCATAGAAGTACATTTGGATGTTTGTGTTCATCCTAGGAGAAAACGGTGGCTAGTTTGCTGAGTTGCTTTCTGTAAGAATAAGTAAATTAGCCTTAAAGGGGCAATCTGCATTTGCTACATCCATTTTTTTTTATATAAATTAATTATATGTACCCATTGATTCTTTAAAAATATAACTTATAAATGCCTCAAGAGCTTAGATCAACTGTTGTACCCCATCAGAATGCAAAATATAAGGTTGTTTTCCTCCAATGTTTGTAAACGAAGTCAATGTAAACAAACACTTTATAGCCTCAAAACTATAATTTTGATATCATAGATGATCAGACCTTGCATCTATAGCTCTGTCTATGAATTTGAGAGTGATTACGTTTCCCCAGCTTTTTACCGAAACAGGGGCAGGCAGAACTCTTTGTCATTGTTTCAACTGCTGATTGCCGCTTTAACAACTTGACAGATATCGCTGTTGTCATAAAGCTAGGACATTTTACAAAGTGGATAGTTGAAACATACTGTGTGTGTGAACTAATATGTAAATATGTGCAAAACAATGTAACAGGAGAGTAGCTTTACCTTCAGGTTGACAAAGTTAATAAAAAATGTCCCTCTGGATTGGTCAGTATTCACAACCCAAACCACCATTACAGAACTGATTGACACAGAGTCTGTGAAATGGGAGGCCTATGTTAATGGCCTTTAAGTCCATGGTGAGGAGAACACAGCTCTCTCCTTTCCTTGGTTGGGAGTGACAGACACTCAGTCCTTCATTTTCCATTCACCACCTCCTGTCCTCCTCCCCAGACCAAACACGTAAATCCATCAGTCTGAAAACACAATCAATGGATGACTCACTCTGATCTGCGACAGGACATTTGCCTGTGAGCGGAGACATTCAACAAAATGTCCCCAAATAAATCTCCATCTGTACAACAATCAATCGTTAATTATATTCTTGACCAACCGAGTCTGAGACAAAAAAAAGCAGTGCAATAGTATTAGGTGGGTCTCCCCCGGAGCGGGACAAGAGTAGGGGAAGGACAAGTCTGGGTTTGGGGGGGGGGGGAGGGTACCATTGGAGGGAGTGCATCTCATGTGGTGGAGGTCTGTGTGATGCTCCTCTGACTGCTGGTGCTCTTGATGACGTAGGTGGAGGAGTTACTCTTGCGGCTGGAGTCGTGGTCACGTTCGCAGTGGCATTGGGAGGACTTGAGGTAGCGGGCCGAGCAGCACAGGAAGTTCTGCCTCAGGTCTGAGAACAGGTGGCCTGCGAAGCACATGTAGATCCATGGGTTACAGCAGCTGTTCAGACTGGCCAGCAGCATGGAGATGATGAAGGGCATGGCTAGAGAAACAAGACAAACAAGACAAACACACAAATTACATTTCTACTGATACTTCAATCACACATGATTGCAAATTGACAACTGGTGCTAGAAGTGTGTTCTAGTGTTTTGTAGTTAGGGTTACAAAGCTACCAGTAATTTACCAAAGTTACCCAAAATCTTCAGTCATTTTGTTAATTAACTGGTAATCTATGGCAATCTATGGTAACTTTGGTAATTAATGGGACTTGCAAAGCAAACGTCCCATTCTAAATCTTCTTCTTCTTCTTCTTCTTCTTCTTCTTCTTCTTCTTCTAATTTGGACAGCTACTCCTACACATTTAAGCTAGTAGCAGGTAGCCTAGCGGTTAAGAGCGTTGGGCCATTAACGACAGGTCTGCCGTTCTGCCCTTGAGCAAGGCAGTTAACCAACAACTACTGCGCCGATCATGTCGATTAAGGCAGCCCACCGCACCTCTCTGATTCAGAGGGTTAAATGCAGAAGACACATTTCAGTTGAATGCATTCAGTTGTACAACTGACTAGGTATTCCCTTACCCTTCACAACTGCTAACCCCACAACTACTGACAATCTGTCTTCCGTTCCACAGACACAGAGAACTACACACAGTCAGAGCTTGGCTGCCAACAGCTGACACACGCTCTCTGGGGGGGATTTCATCAGAAAATCGCAGTGCAGCCGCTGGAAAATGCACTAGAGGTAAACAGAAATCCTGCTGAACGAGGGAGCGCTCAGTTTGTTGTTTTGGTATTTCTGTTTTTTATTTTTAATATATTTGCAACATTTCTAAAAACCTGTTTTTGCTTTGTCATTATGGGGTATTGTGTGTAGATTGATGAGGATTTGTATTTATTTAATCCATTTCAGAAGAAGGCTGTAACGTAACAAAATGTGGAAAAAGTCAACGGGTCTGAATACTTTCTGAATGCACTGTATTTAGGATATTGTTTTACAGCTTTGTCATTCTATTTTTTATTTTACAAAATCAACTTATTTGATTATGTTATATATTTTACATGTGATGAGGCCACACAGAGGGCCAGAGATAATTACAGAAACCTGTGATAATCTAAAGTACCCAAAAGGACCACATAAAATCCTTGAAAGTTACCAAAATTCTGGTAGTTTATTGGTAAACTTCAAAAGTGTAGAGTAATGTACCCTTCATTTGTTTGAAGATATAAAGGTCATTTTTAAAGATGACATCTGATTGAATAGTATGATTTCTATTGATCTCATTCACATGTTGTAATAATCTACATTTCACCTTAAAGTCGTATAAACATGGTTGTTGTGAAATGCCAGTCTGTCTCATTATGTTCTTATCCTCTGGATCTTCTGAGGACCAACATGAGGAAACCACTTTCATCCTAATTATCTCTCTCTCACTCTCTCTCTCCCCCCCTGTCACGGTTTCGGCCGAGGCGGCTCCTCCTCCTTGTTCGGGCAGGTTTCGCCGGTCGTCGTCTCCGGAGTACTAGCTGCCACCGCTCTATGTTTCTTGTTTGATTGGTTTTGTCTGTTAGTCACACCTGTTTTGTGTTATGTCTCATTTAGCACCCTATTTAGTTTCCTTGTTGTTAGTTTAGTGTTGTGTGTAATTGTTCGTGTCGTGTTGTTGCGCTACCCGTGTCGGTACGCTATTTTCATAGCTTCCTCCTTGTGTTTAGGAGAGTATTTTCGCACCTGTGTGTGCGCTCGCTTATTTACGCCTGTGTGCGTCCTTTTGCCTCCGGGCTGTTTGGATTATTTTTGTGTGCTCTAGTAAAGTCTTGTTGGACTTATCCTCTGCTTCCTGCGCCTGATTCTACACCACACCAATCCACAGCAACGTGACAGAATTACACACCTCACATGGAATCAGCAGGAGCACCCGTCGACATCATGGAGGAGCGTCTCCTTGGTCAAGAGCACCGAATCAACCGGATCGGGCACGCCTTGGAGGGCGTCATGGACACCCTTCGTCGATGGGAAACCAGCGGGGTTCCCACAGCCCCACCTATCGCACCATCACCACCGGACAGCCAGCCCGTCCATCGACCGGAACCCAGTGGGATTCGGCTCTCGCTCCCGAGGGCGTACGACGGCACCGCTGCCGGGTGTCAGGGGTTCCTCTTACAAGTGGAGCTCTACCTTGCCACCATACACCCGGCGCCCTCGGGATACGAGAGCGTTTCCGCCCTCATCTCCTGTCTCACCGGCAAGGCGTTGGAGTGGGCCAACGCCGAATGGAGGGGAATAGACGCCGCCACAGTCACCTATGCGGAGTTCTCCCGCCGCTTCCGTGCAGTCTTCGACCATCCACCAGAGGGGAAGGCGGCGGGGGAGCGTCTATTCCACCTCCGACAGGGGATGAGGAGCGCTCAAGAGTTTGCGCTGGAGTTCCGGACTCTAGCGGCTGATGCTGGGTGGAATGAGAGGGCCCTCATAGACCACTTTAGATGTAGCCTTCGGGAGGACGTCCGCAGGGAGTTAGCATGCAGGGACACTACACTAACATTTGACCAGCTGGTGGACATGGCCATTCGACTGGACACCC